TGCCCTACTCCCGGCGCTCTGGCTGCCTGGGGCTCTCCATCCTACTGCCGACGCTCTGGCCGCCGGGGGCTCTCCGCCCTACTCCTGGCGCTCTGGCCACCGGGGAGAGAGGAGCCACGGCGGGCTCGCCGCCCTCTCCCTGGCGCTCTGGCCGGTCGGGGATTGCGGGCCCGCGGGTGGGTTCGGCGCCCTCCCCTGCCGCGCTGGAGGGGGCGGGGGGTCGGCGGGTGGCTTTTTTGCCTAGGACGGCAAAAAAGCCAGAGCCGACACTGCTCTGAGACAACCGGGAACACCCCAGTGGATACACAGGCTGGGCTGTGGGGAGGTCAGGGCCTTGAAGCTGAGCCCTCCCTGGCTAGGGTTGAGACCTAGAGGGACCCCGTCCATGGGGGTAAGGGGGGCTGGCGCACCATCCCAGACCAGTTCTCAGTTCACTGTCCCCTTGGGCAAGACCTCTGCCTGTGTAACCCCAGACCCTGCTTAGCCCCCCCAGCTGTCCCCTCCGTGCGCCCCACGGCAGGACCCACCTTCGCACATGGTTGAGTTCCTGGTGGAGGGGACGTAGCCGGCCCGGCACTTACACCAGTAGCTTCCGTAGGTGTTGATACACGTGGCCTTAGGGCCGCAGATACCTGGGGTCTTGCGGCACTCGTTGATGTCTGAGAGGGGAAAGGGGGGATGAGGGTGTCACACACAGTACGGGTGGGGGCACATGGGGGGTGAATGACCATGGAGATCTTGGGTAAGCTCAGTGGCCGTGCATTAACAGCATCGCCAACGCCAAGCAATCAATAAAAGCCCCAAACCCTGAGGCAGGCTGCAAAAAAGTCACAAAATTGGCTTTGTTTTGTTTGACTCTGGTTTGGGAGCTGTCAGTCACCCCAGCGTAATGTTTGACAGTTTTCCCTCTGCCATGTGGACCAGGCCCTAGTTTTGATTTTAGCCAAAAGCGGAATCACGTGACTCTGGGAGGTGGGGCTGTAAGGAAACGCCACACATTAACAACACTGCAGAAAAGCCAGAAACATCATGCCTTTGACACGACTGTTTCCAACTCCCGTTGTACCTGTGCAGATCTGAGACGGATCCTTTTGACTCTTCCCAAATCCCCAACTGCATTTACACATGTAACTCCCTGGCATGTTGATGCAGGTCCCATGGGGCTCACAGATTGTGGTGTTTCGCTGGCACTCGTCAATGTCTGCAAGGTTGAGAGAAAGCGCTAGGTCAGGCTGATAGAGGAGCTGTACCTTGGGCACTGGGGTGACGCTGCTGGGGGATAATCCAGGCGTCCAACATGTACCGTGCTCTGGGGAACGGGGCTGGTTAGAGCCAGGAGTTCAGTTACTGGGTCAACGAACGGGAGCGAGTTGGCTATTGTCCTGAATGAGCTGCACCAGCTGGGAAGGGAAAAGCAGCCCTGCCATCAAGCAGATCTGGCGATGCCCAGTGCCGCAATATACCAGTTCAGACGGCAATGTCTGAATGAGCCGTCTGCCCCGGAAGGGACAAATGGGGAGCTGCTTTGGAGGAAGGGGATAGAAAATAACATGAGGGCTAGTCTAATGCCTGGAGATCAGTCAGTCATTGAAGGGGCGCCAAGCGCTCGGTTCTCGGTGGTGCAGCCAGAGCTCTCCCTTCCCTCAGGCACACGGGAGTCCCAAGGCTTCCAAACTCGCTCCGAGTTGCAGGGAGCTCTGAGATTGGGTGTCTCTAGGGGCTTAAGTCCATGGGGAAATTGATGGTAACAGCTCCTGTGGAATCGCTCCCCATCTGGACACTCTGGTCTGGAATAATCAGTGCGCTTCCAAAGAGAACAGCGATCGCCATCAATTCCCCCCGGGGGCAAGCCCTAGGGATTCTCCGCACGGCTCCCGATACCAGCTATCCCCGGACAATCCCCGGGACACTGGCTGAGATACCTTCTGCGCTGATTTCTTCTTGTGCCTAGACCCGCCCCAGGACACTGGCTGGGGTTATCCCACACGGCCGGGGGCTGGGCGCAGGAACGGCTGGGCGAGGTCTCTGCCAGGGGAAGCGTTTGAACCAATGGGCTCCTGAGTTCTCCCAGGTCTATGGGCCCGGTGCTCTGCCAAACGGGGGTGTAAAGGGCGGTTTCCATGGGAACGGCCGGCTAGGACTTGATACAAGCTCTAACTACTGGCTGAACGTCGCAAACAAGGGCCTGGAGTGCCCCGGCCCCTTCTCCAGTCAGGCCGCCCTGGCTGCCTAAGGGGGCATAATGGCCCCCGTGGGAAACACCCTCCCATCCAGGGGGTTCCCTGTCAGTGTGGGGCTGGAAAAGGCTCTGCTCCCAGCCCTAAGGGAGGGGGCAGATTAGGGGCGTGGCTGGGGTGCCCTGCGCTGGGGCTATTCCCTGCTCCCCAGGGCCCATAGGGGGCAGAGCGCACTGTGCTGTATGTGGACGATCCACGAGGCCCCTTCCCAGGCTGGGGGCACTAGCAGCCTGGATTCTGTGTGCTGGGGACAGCGAGGGCCCCACCCGTCTCCCCGGCGCCTCCCTGCGAACCCAGGGGATCATTCCCACTCCAATCACCGAGGCAGGGGAGATCCTGGCCCCCACGTGCTGGGGCAGCAGTTCAGGGTCACGGCTGATCACAGCCCCGGTGAGTGGATCGGGTGCCTTTGCTGCAGCCGGCAGCAGCCTCTGGTGCGGCGCCAGGCCTGGAACGAGCATTTGTGTGTGCGAGGGGGGGCGTCAGCATGTGGAACCAGGGGAGAGCTCACCCTGGCAGGTGTTCTCACTCGCGTGCGTGAAATTGGCTTTCCCAGAGCTGGACTCGTAGCCATCGCTGCAGGTGCAGGAGTAATTCCCAGGCACATTGGTGCAGTTTGCGTGGGGTCCACAGTCTGCCGGGTTCGGGCCCTGACACTCGTCAATATCTGCAACACAAGAGGGGATGTTCTGTACAGTCCTGGCAGGGAGACGTTCCTGTATCACCCACCTGTACTGAGCTGGGTGACGGGACCCAGGCGACCAGGCCTCTGAGAGCTTAACAATCACAGGCCTGAGTCTCAGCTATGCTCAGGCCACGCTAGCCTGCTCCGGCAGCGGAACGGCCACTCGAGAATATGGTGTATTGAAAACTGTGTTAGCATCACAAGCTCTCACTTTACATCTGCAAGGGGCTTTCCTGGATCTGCTTGCGGGCTATGGGAGTTGGGTGACAAGCATGTGATCTGGGGTTTTCAGCAGTGTGTCTGCCAAAGAGCCCAGCCTAGAGCAAAGTGGGGTTAGTTGTGCCCATCTGCCTTCAGGAGCAGCCTGCTTTGTCTCTCTCTGTTTGGGATCCTCGTGTGCTGGGGTTCTGGATTCTAAGAAATAACCCTGTGTTGAGCTGCAGCCTGCCAGCGAGAGGATGTTTCTAACTGTGGGTGTGCTGTGAACATAACAGAGGGAAGGGGATCTTCCGACCCCAGAACAGCCACTGTGGCCTCTATGGACCAAGCCCCTCTGGGGCCAAGATTTGGGGAGATTTAGGAGTCCATGTGTGAAGCTGAGTTGCCCAAGGAGTGGGAACACGGGGACTTGGCAGAAATCCCCCTCAGGTTCCAATCACAGAGGAACACACAGGCATTGCCAGCCTGGGTCAGCCCCAAGGCCCATCTACCCCGGTATCCCGTCTGCGACGGGTGCTATGGAGGAAGCTGTAAGTGACCTGCAGCAGCAGCGAGAGGATAATCTGCCCCCGTGAAGGTCTCCTCCTGGTCTCTAATAGTCGGAGGTCGGCTGAAACCCTGAATGGGAGCTTTTCCCTCCCTCCCAGAATTGTCCATTAACTAGCACAGCTCCAGGCATTGTCATTCTCCATAGAAACAGCCAGTCCCTCTTTAAAACTCGACACATTCACAGCCTCCAGGCCGCGGTAGCAGTGAGTTCCAGAGGCTACTGCTGCCCCGGGTTTAGGATTATTTCCTTGTATCTGCTTTGAATTTGCCCCTTTTCAATTCAATTCAATCCACAGACTTCCCGGGTGTCCCCGTGCCATGCCGCTGGAAGCCAGGGTGTCTGAAGGAAGCCTGGGGCTGGGCTGGCAATGCCAGTACCAGCACATACCCCTCCCAGCACTGCCCTGGGGGAGCGAAATGGAGTTGGAGCAGAGAGAGCCTGGAGCAGGGGTCTGGTACAAGGCCCGAACCAAAGTCAGCAAAAGTGATGCTCTGATCAAAAGTCCGGCCCTGTGGGACACTGAGCCAGAAAGGGTTAAGCACCTTGCCGGCTAAATGACCCAAATTCTAATTTTAAAGCCATATTAGAAAAGTAGACTGGAGCTGTTCAAGAACACTTTAGTCCAATTCTCAGAGCTGTTCCCGGGGCCACTTCCCAGGCTCAGTGGGGCACTAGCAGCTCAGATGCTGCGTGCTGGGGCCAGCAAGGGTCCCCTCCCCTCTCCCCAGCACATCTCTGCAGCACAAGGAGTTTGCTCCGTTGGTCTGTTTCAAGCCCCAACGGTTTATTCCCTGTCCAAGTGCCAGGCACAGGGGTGAGCCCGGCCCCATGGTCTGCGGGAGCAGGCGAGGGCCATGTCCCATCAGAGCTTCGCTGACGGCCTCGGGCCACTGCCAAAGCCATAGGAGCCCTGGTGCAGCGCCAGGCCTGGAACAAGCATTTGTGTGTGCAAGGGGGGGTCTCAGCAGGTGGGGCCAGGGGAGAGCTCACCCTGGCAGGTGTTCTCACTCGCGTTCATGAAGTTGGCTTTCCCAGAGCTGAGCTCGTAGCCATCAGTGCAGTTGCAGTGGTAACTCCCAGCTAGGGTTACCATACGTCCTCTTTTTCCCGGACATGTCAGGCTTTTCGGCAGTCAAACCCCCGTCCGGGGGGAATTGCCAAAAAGCCGAACATGTCCGGGAAAATGGCGACGTATGGTAACCCTAGCTGGGAGTTACCACTGCAACTGCACTGATGGCTACGAGCTCAGCTCTGGGACAGCCAACTTCATGAACGCGAGTGAGCACACCTGC